CTGGAGGTTCAAACCCACCAGCCACTCCTTGGAAGGAAGGTTGGGCAATCTACCTCCGTAGTGATACCGCCTTGGAAACCCACGAAGGGGTTGCTATGAATTGGGTCCGACTTGACAGCACATAACAACAACAACAACATGAGTGCTTTCATGCTACAATGGCAGAGTTGAATAATTACAAGAGACCTTATGGCCCACAAAGCATAAAGTATTTACTATCTGTCCCTTTACTGAAAACATTTGCCAACCTAAGAAAGTAAGTAGTCGGCAGGCCTAGGTTCATATCCTAGTTCTATCAGTTCCTTAGAGAGGTAGAAGTCACTTAACTCTCTGAACTTCAGATGTCTCACCTGTTAAGTATAAGAAGAATAATGCTTACTTTTTAGCATTGCTTTGAAGATTAAAGGAAAGAGCAAGTACTATATAGCACAGTGATTAAAATGTGTACACTAAAGGCAAAAAACTTACTAGTTATATTTCCTTAAGCAACTAGCTTAATTCTGCCATACCACAGTTTCTTCATCCATAAAATAGGACTACTTCATAGGACTGTTGTGAGGATTAAAGGCATGAAGGTGTCTCAACTGCTTGGAGTAGGATGTGGCACACAAACAAAGCTGTGTAAGCGTTAGCTTTATGCCTAGCACACAGTTATTGTTAGCTGCCATGGGGTTGATTTCGATTCCTGATGACACTGTGTACAGTGTAGAACTGGGTTTCCAAGGCTTTGATCTTTCAGAAGCACACTGTCAGGCCTGTTTTCTGAGGTGCTCTGCATAGGGTTTGAACTGCCAACATTTCAGCTGGGAGATGCGTACTTAATGGTTTGCACCACTCATACTGAATTAAGACTTGAAGATCTCTGATGGCAAAGAGAAGAAGGAATTGGAGTTGAGAGAGATGCTAAGCTTTCAGTGCATGATCATCACAGCCTTGGTTTGGTTATCCAGTTCAAAAACATTCTCCTTTTAGAATGATGCAATCCTTATGAGTTATACACCAATTCTTCACATTGTTTTCCAGTTGCCATCAAGTTGATTGCTACTCATGGCGATCCCATGTTGTGCAGAGTAGAACTGAACTCCATAGGGTTTTAAAGGCTGTGACCTTTTGAAAGCAGATCACCAGGGCTTTTTTCTAAGGTGCCCTGGATAGGCTTGAACCACTAACCTTGTGATTAGTAGTTGAGCAATTAACTGACTACACCACCAGGGACTCTTGTTCTTCCCATAATCATACCCAAAAAGGGTCCTTCCAATGTGAAAAATCCACCACCACCAATTGCCATTGAGTCGTTTTTGATTCATGACCATCCCATGTGTGTCAACACAGTAGAACTGTGCTCCGTAGGGTTTCCAGTGGCTGATTTTTCACAAGCAGATTGCCCAGGCCTTTGTTTTGAGGTGCCTCTGGGTAAACTCAAACCTCCAACCTTTCAGTTAATACCCAAACCAGTAAACCATTTGCACCACTCAGGACTATGTATGAAAAATGCCACATACACGTCTACATATAATATATATATTATATACATACACACACACACACATATGTATACAAGGATGTGAGCCACGATACTTGTGTTTGGCAGAGACTCAAAGACAGTCAGGAAAGTGGGTGAAAAACTTTATAGTGAAAAAGGGAAGGCTTCAGGTATGCTCTGATTGGGTATTGTTACCATGGGGAAGTTGGAAGCAGGCTAACTAGAAGTGGGGTGTTTTATGATTTGAGGAGAAATTTTTACTTCCTCTGATTGATCCTGAGTTGGAAGCAGGGGCAAGAAATAGAAAAGTTGGCAGTCAGTGACCTAGTCCTGAAGGTTCTAGGCCATTTGCCTTGGAAGTTGTAGTGTGGCTTCCTGGGCTGGGTGCTGCAGAGGTTGTGGGCCATTTATGCCATATATGGTCTGGCCATTCATTGCCATTGAGTTTATATTCTCAGTCTGTCTCAGCGGAAGCTTAACAGCTGATGGATCACATTTTACTTTTTTATTGAAATTATAAGTCATACAATAACAATATTTGTACAACACTTTAAACTTTTTGTTAAGCTTTCAAAAACATTCTTGTCTCTTTTATCCTTACATTAATTTTGTGACTCTGAGAGGTTAATTACCTAAGGTCACACAGTGGATTTGGGCTAGAACCAGGATTAGATTGCATTATAGGGTGATTTACAATTTATCACTCAAATTGTCTGTATAGACATCACCTATAATGCCTTTAAAATAAATATTTTTTGTTCCATACTATGATAAAGGATATGTTCAATTGATTTTAATTTCATTGCTTAAAGGAAGGCTTAGGATAAAGGCTTAAAGGAAGGATGATGGTTCCCTTCCATCATATGGAAGGAGGATTTAGGTTTAGGTTTATTCCTACAGCTCTGGACTGGAGAACCCAAACCAGTGAGTGGAAGAAAGGCAGATTTCAACTTGGAATGTGGAATATCTTCAAATAATGGAAGTAAAAGTATGGGCTTTGTCTCCAAAAGAATGTGCTGTCTTATAAAAGAGTTGGTTCCTCATGTCTTATAGTGTTTAAAAAGGCCTCCATGATCCCATACTTCTAGAGGGTTCTTGAACTAGCCAGGCCAGCTACCCTTGACAATCTTCATAAAGGCCTAGTTTATGAAATTTTGCTAAATTTAAAAGAGAGGCATGTTGTTGTTGTTGTTGTTAGGTGCCCTTGAGTTGGTCTGACTCCTGGTGACCCTTTGTACAACAGAATGAAACACTACCGGGTCCTGTACCATCCTTACAATGGTTGATACGCTTGAGCCCATCATTGCAGCCACTGTGTCAATCTGCCTTGTTAAAGGTCTTCTTTTTCACTGACCATCTATTTTATCAAGCATGATATCCTTCTCCAGGGACTCATCCTTCCTGACAATATAACCAAAGTATGAGAGTATAGACATTTTAAATACAGTAATTTAAATTTATTTAAATTTTGGATGTAAATGATTATTTTACTTCTGAAAAACAGTGAGCTCTATTTTAAACTTTATCCCAGGACTCTTCTTGGAATTTATATTCTTGGAACTTCTTGCCCTCATTTATGGCCATATAGTTTCAAAAACATAAAAACAAAAAACAAAACAAAAAAAAAACCAGAAAATTGTCCTAATAAGTAGTCTAATCCAATCTTCCATTGGCATTGTTTTCTGATGGCACAGTTATAAAACTATACACTGAATACATTGCACCCATTTTTGATTTTTTAATAAATTTTGGGGATTCAATGGAGTAAAAAAAGAGAGGGAAAAAAAACCTTGTAAGTGGTGAATACTACAGTTTTAATCTGTAATCTACATCTTTAAGCAAGATCTTTTTCTTCTTTATGACTTCTTTTTTAATGCTCAGGTTGAACTTAACTGTATTGTTTTCTGATTTACAAATAATCTGAAACTGAAATAAAATAGTGAGTCCTCTTTTATACGTAAATTGTGATCCCTCCCTTGATATGCTCCAAAGACTAGATGGATCCTCTATACACCCCATCCCTTATTTTCCTTTTTAAGCATTTAAGTCTAACTTTCTACTTTTGCCTGTTGTCTTTACGTGCTGTCGACTGGGTCCTGACTCATAGAGACCCCTCCTTGGGTTGCCAAGGCAGTGTCACTGCGGAAGTAGATTGCCTAACCTTCCTTCTGAGGAGTGGCTGGTGGGTTTGAACCGCCAGCCTTCTGGTTAGCAGTCAAGTGCCTTAGGCACTATGCTACCAGAGCTCCTTACTTTTGCCTAGCATTTTTTTTTTTAAACGGGGGGATGTGTTTTTTGTCTATTTAAATGCGATACAGAATCCTGAAGATTCCCAGAATCTGGAAATAAGTCATTGCAGAGGTAAAGTAGGCAAGAGGCTGCTGCAGAGAAAATGCCCTCTGTATAAATCCAGTTCTTCTCAATGATTTTTGACAACTTCCGGGACTTGAGGCTGTGTTCGAAATTGTCTTCTTTACCGTATCCATTTTTTTTATGACTGTACATATTTACATACGTAGACATATGGCAAGGGAGAGCAAAAGCTATGACGTGAGGCTCTCCCTGGAGAATAGGAGCTGATAAGGAAATAAAACAGGTGTCTGTGAAGAGGTTTTTTAGAGCAAGGAGAACTGAGAATAACCATCATTCAGAAGGTCAGGAACTCGTGCAACCTCTTGGAGGACAGGCTCTGTTGCTTTGAAATGGACTGAGTTTCCTGTTCGATAGCTGGTCAGAGATTCATTGAAACTCGGAGATATTTTTTCTAACGTCTCCAATGCTTTTTAATCTTTTTTTTTTTTTTTCCCTTGAGGTTCGGTGGAGAGGGATTGGTCGCAATTCTGTCCAGGTAAACGGGAGATTCTGGGCGATGAGAAAGGTTACAAGAGGACTTTAAAGGCCGAGAGGAAAGCGGCAGCACCCCGCCCCCGCATCTCAGGGCCTCCTGATCCCCTGTCCGTGACCTCCCGCGGAGACCCCGGGCGGCAGCATCAATATTTGATCGGCCCTTCGCCAGCGCGTTGCCAGCACTTCGGGCGGGGCAAACCAGGCATCGCTCACGTCGCGCTGAAGCCAAGAGCAGCATTCGCACCGCAGGGGCTTTGGAAGGACTAGCTCTGCGCTCGCGCTCTGCCGGGGCTGCTGGGCTCGGAGGCCGGGCGCGGCGCCCACCATGCACTGCTCCTCGCGGCTCGCGGTGCTGTGCGCGCTGCCCTGGCTTCTGCGGGCGGCGGCGCCCGGGCGCCTAGCGCAACCCAAGGCTCAGCCCCCCGCGCCGCGCGGGGCTCCACGCGACCCAGCCAGGGGAGCAGATTTCGATCGCGTCTACAGCGGGGTGGTGAGTCTCAGCACCGAGAACATGTACTCCTTCAACTACACCAGCCACCCTGGCCAGGTAAGACACTCACTCCCCTCGCTCGACTCCCAGGAACTTGTCAGATCTCAGAGCCCGGTCGCGTCTTGAGTCTCCCTGGGACTGAACATTGGGAGACCTCAGGGACTACAGGACCCTTTATTTTCAAAAGCATCACTGCCCTGTCGGAGCTCCTGTACCCTCCGAAAGCTGCCTCAGGGAAAGCTCCGGTTCACCTCACGCCTTCCCTGGCCAGGTTTCTGGCATTTCTGGGCTTTGCAGAGGGGCTGCTTTCCGCGCGGTCTGCAGATCCAGGCCCCCTGGGGGGCCTTCTTCTGAGAAAGTCTTGAATTCTATGGCGGGGGGGGGGGGGGGGAAGGACCACACCTCTGTTCCTAATCTCTTGTGAGAAAGGAACCTCATTTCATTTGCAGCGATTCAGCCAGACCCATCTATCTCTTAATGCATGCGAAGCGAGAGCTGTTAAGAATCTAAAATGCAAATAGTGTGAGAATGGACGCCTACTGCAGAACCTCTGTGTATGCGTTAGCCACTTCCTGTTGTCACATGTATGCGCTTCAGAGAAGCCAGAAGACATGGACAAAGACATTGGAACTGCAACCATCAGCTGATCTATTAAGGTTTCAATTTTAAATAAGGGTGGAGAGATCCTGTGAAAGTTCTAGACCTATTACTGACAAGAATTGAAGTGAAAAGAGGGGAGAAATACTCCAGTTACATATATTCTGATTATATAACACAAGAAAATTCATATAATTGTCTTTTTTTTCCTTCTACTAATGTACCCCTGGGGCACAGAAGCTCTTGTAGCATAATGCCTAAGGCACTTGACTGCTAACCAGAAGATTGGTGGTTCAAACCCACCAGCCACTTCTCGGAAGGAAGGTTGGGCAATCTACTTCCGTAGTGATACTGCCTCGGAAACCCAAGGAGGGTCACTATGAGTGGGGTCCGACCCACGGCACATAACAGCAACAGGGGCACAGAAAAGAAAAAAGAAAAGAGAATTCTCTAATGTGCTTGCCATTGGCTCCTCTTCCTATCCTAAAACAAACCAAATTCACTGCCATCCAGTTGGATCTGACTCATAGCGACCCTTCCTTGGGTTTCGCTTACTATGCCAGCTTTCCCTACTCCCTTGGAAAATTCTAAACCAAATGATTTGGATACTACTATTCACCTCTGTCTCGCAAGGTCCTCAGAAACCTCATAGCTACCTGTAGTGAGGCTTGTATTGAGCCAGAGAGACCAATGTGCCATTACCACTGCAGGCTGTGTGATCTGAAGAAGTGTCCTGAGTATTTCCCCATCTCTAGTCTAGCACCGATTTCTAAGGTAATGTCACCATGGCAGCACAGCCCTCTGTCCTGTCCTCTGCTAACCTTCAGGGTGTGTGTCCTGAAGTGAGCAAAGTGGCTGTGTGCAGAGCTATTCCACCATTGACAAGTGAAAGAGGGGAAGGCCTTATTCCCCAAACCCCATGTAACTGACCTCTCCCTGTGCCTTGCTGGATATTGACCACATGGCTGAACCTCGTTCATATTATACACAAGAGGCATTCTTTGCTCTGTGGTTGGCTCAGGACAGACGAACGTAAACGTTTGTAAATCCCCATGATGTCTAGGATGTATGTACTGTCAGTTTCCCCTTAAATCACTGTGCAAGGAAACTCAAGTTATGTGTGTAAAGTAAGTCCTGAAATCAGGTTTTAGTACTTCTTGCACTTCTACTTAAAGACAAACTGCTTTTTTCAATGGTGCTTTGACCTTGTCTCCTTTCCCACTAGACCCATTGCCACCCAGTTGATTCTGATTCACAGCGACCCCTTAGGACAGAGCAGAACTGTACATCTTTACGGAAGCACACTGCCTCATCTTTCTCCCACAGTGCAGCTGGTGGGTTTGAACTGCTGACCTTTTGGTTAGCAGCCAAATGCTTTAACCACTCTGCCACCAGAGGTCCTCTTTTCTCCTTCACTGCGGTGGAGTCAGATCCAACTCATAGCCACTCCTCCTTGGGTTTCCCAGACGGTATCACTATGGAAGTAGATTGCAGCACAGATTGCATTGTTTGCAGGTGGGTCACCTTCTTGACTTTTCCAGTAATCTATGAGATATTGAAGGAAAGGGCTCAGTCATGTTCATTTCTGTACCCCAGAACTGAGCACAATGCTTAGCACATAAGAGAGTTATAAGATTTTTAATGAATAGATAAATAAATAAAGGGTTAAAGGACTTTTAAGCTGAGGCTAAATAGAATTAAATATATGCAGCTTTTCATATAATATACTGGAAAATGTGAGACTTTTCATTTTCCATAAAAACAAAATTTTTAATTTTTTTCTGAAATTATGCCCTTTCCTATTTTGCCATTATATGTGTTAAAAGAAACATTATTATAAAATGCCAATTATTACTATGGTGATACTGTTGTTGTTGTTGTTATGTGCCGTCGAGTCGGCCCCGACTCATAGCGACCCCTCCTTGGGTTTCCGAGGCAGTATCACTACGGAAGTAGGATTGCCCAACCTTTCTTCCGAGGAGTGGCTGGTGGGTTTGAATCTACGAAATACAAAGTTGGGAGCCATATACCAAACAGCTGACTCAAGTGTTTTCATTATTTTAATGTCAGTAAGTACTAATATTAAACCAGATGTCTTCAAGTCTTCCAGCTTTTTGGGACTTCTCTATGATATGCAGGAGCTCTAGTAGCATAGTGGCTAAAGCACTTGACTGCTCACCAGAAGGCTGGCGGTTCAAACCCACCAGCCACTCCTCGGAAGGAAGGTTGGGCAATCCTACTTCCGTAGTGATACTGCCTCGGAAACCCAAGGAGGGGTCGCTATGAGTCGGGGACTTTACAGCAAACAACAACAACAACATTTGCATATCATAGTTGTTGTTGTTATGTGCTGTCGAGTCGGCCCTGACTCATAGCGACCCCTCCTTGGGTTTCTGAGGCAGTATCACTACGGAAGTAGGATTGCCCAACCTTCCTTCCGAGGAGTGACTGGTGGGTTTGAACCGCCAGCCTTCTGGTGAGCAGTCAAGTGCCTTAGGCACTATGCTACCAGAGCTCCCATGATATGCAAATAAGACACTTAATATAGGAACTTACCATTCTTGCCCACCAGCCAATATCCTGTTCATTTCTCTGGAGACGGCATTTTCCTAATATGTCTGTCCAAACCATTACTCTCTGTTTCTGCCTCATCTTTCTCCCAGAGTGGCTTGTGGGTTTGAACTGATGACCTTTTGGTTAGCAGCCTTAACCACTATGCTATCAGAGCTCCTATGGATTGCATTGTGTCCCTCAAAAATATCGTTTAAAGCTTGTAAGTAGCCATCTAGATGCAATGATGGGTCTCTCCTCATCCAGAGCAAAGAATAATGAAGAAAACCAAAGATTCATGGAAACAATTAGTCCAAGCGACTGGTACACCATGTGATCCTTAGTCCATATGAGTATGAGACCAGAAGAACTAGATGGTGCCTGGCTACCACTGTCAACCACTTGGAGGGGGATCTATGTAGGAGATCCTGGATAGAGAGGGAGAACAATGTGGAACACAACTCAAAATCATTTGGGGGGGAAAAAAAAGAAAGGAACCAGGTTTGCTGGTCTGATAGAGCCTGGTAGAACCACTGAGACTATGGCCCCTAGCTGCCCTTCAGGTCTGGAATTGAACCCACACTTGTGGCTTCCAGCCAAAGAAAAGACAGGCATATAAGATGAACATTTACCTGAGGTAGATACATTCCTGGGAGAGTACAATCATGGGAGAAAGAAGGGCTGTTTATGCACAGGGAGACAGCTCAGGAGGCAGGAGTGCATGGAGGGATGGACACAGGGAAGAGGTAACTATTGAGAGGAAGTAAGTGGGTGGGGAGCTGTTGCACTGGGGTAAATTGTAGTCAATGTCATGAGACAAAGTGTGTGTGAACTGCATAATAATAAAAAAATTAAAAAATACTTATTTTGTTTAAAACCTAACCCTTCTACCTGTGGATATGATCCCATTTGGGAATAGAGATTTATTTGTTACATTAATAAGTCCATATCAGTGTAGGGTGTGTCTTAAACCAATCACTTTTGAGATACTAAAGAGCAGATTAGGCACAGAAGAAGGCACACACAGGTGAGTCCTACCTTAACTGAAAATGACAGAGGCAGCCCAGTCCACAAGTGCAGAAACTCCAAGGATTTCTGGCTAGAGAAGATGAGACAAGAATTTTCCCCTAGAGTCAACAGAGGGAAAGCCTTTCCCTAGAGCTGGTGCTCTGAATTCAGATGTCTAGTCTCCAAACTGTGAGAAAATAAATTTGTGTTTGTTTAAGTGGTATTTCTTACAGCAGTACTAACTAACTTAGACATTGTGCTAACAATTTACCAGCTATCTTCCACCAGGGGAATTTCAAGATATGTAATGTTTAGGGTCCTGGTTTGTCATCGTCTTCTTGACCATCCTCCCTCCCAAGTTCTGGCCTCCGACTCTCCAAATTTTTGTTACTCTCTCATGCCAAGCAGTTTAGGCCTCATTTCCATCTGCAAACTTGCTAAAGGGTTCTGGTAAATAAAGGACCATCTGTTCTCCAAAACTATGATCTCCAGAGCAGAAGCTTGCCATTATTACTTCTTTTTTTAACCTGAACAAAGTCTTGGTCAGGACTTCTGCAAGGGCTTCTCCACCCCTATTCAGTACAACAAAGAATTCAGTTTAGGGGGAATAAAAAAAGTCTAATATTTTAATTTGAGTCTTTTGCCTTTCGTATTTGAGCCATTGTTAGTTATCTTTGCCATTGTTGTGCTTTTGGCTTGGAGAAGAAAGTCTTTTCCAGCTACTGTAAATTTAGGCCTTGGTGAACAGAGGAAGCTGTTGTGGGAGGCATTGCTCTTAATCTTTTCTGCACCTCCCCTACCAAATGCTGCCACCAAGAGCTATTTAGCCAAGCTGTGTGTCAGGCTCTTTAGCTGAATTTGACACCAGGAAAAGTCTCATATGCCTTCCAGGCATAGAGTAA